TTTTTTTTTTCTAGCCAAAATAAGCGAGTAAATATCTGTTTAGATTTATCCTCTGTTTTTCTAAATTTTGACTCCCACTATAATCCTACTAGTACTTCTTTCCCCTGATCACTATATATATTTGTGTTATCCGTATCAGTTTCATAATTTCCTCTGATCTGCGCATTCCTCATTCTCTCCTTATTTTCTCTCTGTTTTCCTCTCTGCTTTCCAGCTGCTTTAGATTGGTTCAACCATGTTGAGTGTCAACGCCGCTCATAATATCGTCGGCATCATTGGTGCGTACAAACTCGTGCAACTTAACTTCCGATCATCATTTGTTTTTTCTTTCTTGGTTTTTTGATTTCACAGAGTGATTTTATACATGTTTTCCCAGTCCGGAGTGATATTTATATTTATAGAGTACTTAAGTACTGTTTGGAGATATAATTGTTTTTTTTGTTTAAAAATTAAGACTAATGTATATTTTACAAAGAGATGATCATCACAAAAGGGTTAATGATTCATGATGACGTGATTTTTTTTTTTTTTAATTTTGTTTGACAATTTGAAGTGATGGTACTATTAGAATGAAACCAGTTTTTATTTTTTTTCCTTTTCTAATTTAAGTATGTTTTTGTTTATCATAAACAATCTTAACAGTAGCTTATAGATTTTAACCAATTGGTTTATTTGTTTCGATCGCAGGGAATGTCATCTCCTTCGGCCTTTTCCTCTCTCCAGTGTAATCTCTCTCTTTCGATTCTCTCTTTATCTTATATTTTCTGTTTGTATAAAATTTTTGTTTTGATGTTATTAAAAGAGAATTTTTTTATCATATGATTAATATACATTAGAGTATAAACAATAATAATAAATTATTATACTACTTACATCCGAATAAGTTTATTATCACTTATTATTATATATTGATAGTGGATGTCTCCCTTTTGCAGTCCAACATTTTGGCGTATCATTAAGAAGAAGGATGTGGAGGAGTTTCAGCCAATTCCTTACTTGGCAACTGTTCTGAACTGCCTCTTCTGGGTTTTATATGGACTCCCCATTGTTAAAAAGGATAACATCCTTGTCTTCACCATCAACTTGTTTGGCTTCATAGTTGAGATGATCTACGTCGGCATTTACCTCCTTTACTCTGAGAAGAAGAAGCGAGTATGATCCTATATATCAAACCCAGTTTCAATTTGTATATAAATTAACCAACATATATATACATGAATTTGTATGTGTATTTTTTGACATGTATATCCATTTTCAGAATAGAGTCCTCCTTATCCTTGGGGGTGAATCTGTTTTTTTTGTGGTCATGGTTCTCATCGCCATGCTGGCTTTTAAGTTCAAGAATAGGGCACTGTTTGTGGGGATCATATGTGATGTCTTCAACATTATCATGTATGGTTCCCCTCTTGCTGTCTGGGTATGTTGCCATCTGAACCTGTCCTTTTATCCTTACTCCGTGATGAAATACCTATAATTTATATATTCATCCTTTTTTTCTTAAACTAATTTGCAGAGGAAGGTTATTATGACCAAGAGTGTTGAATACATGCCGTTCTTTCTCTCCTTGGCTGGTTTTGCTAATGGCTGCATTTGGACAACTTATGCCCTCATCAAATTTGACCTCTTCATCCTGGTAATTAAATACCACTTTCCACCATAATATCTGTAATGCTGCTATATTATAGTTTATGAATGAAAACTAATCTCCTAATAAACATAAATTGATTTCCCTCTCTCTGCAGATTAGCAATGGCCTTGGTGCTATCCTTGGTGGTATTCAGTTGATTTTGTATGCCTGCTACTACCCTTCAACTCCCAAGAAGAACAAGGGCAAAGATGCTGGAAAGCCATCTGAGGTGCAGCTCGCGGGTCAAAATGCAGTCTGAAACCAATTCCTTCCATATTAGGAGAGAGAGCAAAAATGTTTTCCTTTTGCTTTTTTAAGTTCCTAGCAAGAATTTTGCAGTTGTTCATTTAGACTTAACACTAATAAGGGTTTAATTTTTTTTTTAATAGTATTTCCTATACTTCTCTGTAGATAAAGTTTTGCTTTCCTGGGGATTTAATGTTTTTAATTATCCAGCTACTCTTACTTCCCGGATGGGGTTATTGTTGATTAGATTTTTATATTTTTAAACTTGCAATAGAATTTATGCTCTCTTTATTTATGAATGTGTACTTTATTTTTTACAACATCTTATCTTTAAAGATGATTTATTAATACAATCTAAAATAATATAGATAAATAACTAAAATACACCACCTATATTTAAAATGTAAATGATTAAGTCTTTAACTTATAGACCTTGCTCATGTGGTCACTGTATGGTCACTATATAAGTAAGGTTAAAATCCCTTTTTGATCCTTGAACTATTGTACAGACCCCTGATTTGGTCCCTAAACTAAAAAAATCCCTGATTTGGTCCCTATTGTTTACTATTTTTACCCCGATTTGATCCTTCCGTTAAAATCTCACCGTTATCTCATGACAATTTAATGACATGTCAAACATATGAGACACTTCAGTTGTATAAATGAATAAATAATGACATGGCAACGTGACATGTCATGTCCTTGTCCAACCCAACAAAAGTGGGACCCACCAAAATTACGAATTTGCCATCATCTTCTTCCTCCAGCAAACAAACCCAACAACAAACAAACCCAGCACCAAACAAAACCAGCACCTGGGTTGAATCGAACCCAACAACACCCTTTTTTTTTCCTTCCTCTTCCTTGCCTTGCTTTCTTCATCATCATCAAACACATTATCATCAAACACCAAACCCACAGAAAAAAAAAAAAAAAAATTTTACCCCTGGGTTTTAGGGAACCCAGGCGTGGGTTCGAGGGAACCCAACCCGGGCAAGCGTGCTGGGTTCGCAAGGAACCCAACGCCTGGGTGGGTTCGAAGGAACCCAGGCCTGCTGGGTTCTGTGGGGAAAGAGAAGGAAAAGGGAAAGGGGAAGGAGGAAGGGAAAGGGAAAGGAGAAGGAGAAAGAAAAAAGATAAAAGAAAAAAAAGATAAAAGAAAAAAATTTTAAAATTTTATTTTTTTATAATATTTTTTTATATTATTATTTTTTCCACATCATCACTTTTTGACTATATTATTTTCCACATGGATTATTATATGACATGTCATCGTGTTTCCGTTAGTTAACAGTACACGTCACTGGATTTTTAACGAAAAGACCAAATCGGGCTAAAAATAGTAAATAGTAAGGACCAAATCAGGGATTTTTTTAGTTCAAGAACTAAATCGGGGGTTCATACAATAGTTTAGGGACCAAAAAGGAGTTTTAACCTATAAGTAATTTTACTCACCCATATCACCAATT